CGCCCTGACCGGGAGGCGAACAGTTATCTCCTGGTTCATAGGTCCACGCTCACCCACTGAGCCACGCCGGCAGGCCACACTAGGCTTTTCCTAGAGAGCGCCAGTCCGTCTCCTTGGTCCCAGTTCTTGAATGTAGCTGAACTCAACTATTTCCTGAAAGTTTCGAAATGATTCAACTTTACTACCTTGCAAGCCTTCCTGCCCTTATTACAAATCAGAGGCCTGACTGCCGGTTGGGACAGCCCTTCACTTCCCAGTGAGATGGACGCTCAGGGCGCTGTGAGCTCCTTGCCCTCAGGGCTGTTCCCATCCAAAAGTGAGGGAGTGGAGGTTCTGGCCCCCAAAGATCTGTACCCTTGCGCTGGTCATGGAGTGTTATGCCGGCCTGTTGGGGGCCCCCAGCTCAGCACAAGCTCCAGTGCGTCAGTCACTGCTGACTTGGCAGGGCAGCAAGCCCAGCCCCACACCATCAGCTGTCCAGGTGTCCTTCTTGGTGAATATCCAGGGCCCAGCCAGTCCCAGGCGGCCGAGCCACGTCTAGCTTGTACTGTGCGTGGGAAGATGGTTTATGTCAGCTAGGCGTGGCTCTGCTGCCGGGGACTGGCTGGGGCCCGGATATTCTCCACGAGGGACACCTGGGCGGCTGATGGTGTTGGAGTGGCAGGCAGCAAGCATTGTGTCAGCTGGCTTACACTCACAGAGGGACTCCTGGGGAAGGGTCTGGGGATGCTTCAGACTCCAAGGAAGATTTGGGGTGCCCCAGGACATGGGGGTCTCCTGGACCATCGCCATAACTGACTCAGCTTCATGAGCCTAATTAGGTTGTGCCGGCCCTGGCAGGGGATAGGTTGTGCTGGACCTTTCTGGAGGTGGCTGTGAGCTGTCTATTGCAACCACACAGATCTCAGCAGTCACAAGAGCATGTGATCATCATGACCAAGGCTCGGGCATCTGCGTGTGAAGGGGAGCATGTCTCAAGTCTACAGCCAGGTGATGCAAATTCACACAAAACCAGGCAGGAACTGTTACCGGTTCAGAGCTTTAACACTAGGAATCCTACGGCCAGCAGCCCTCCAGGAACCCAGGCAGGATTCATGGCATAGGGTGGCAGTCTGGGGCTGGGGGACACTGGGGGGCACTGGACACAGAGGCTGGGCTCAGCTAAAGACAGACTGGGCCACTGTTTGCAGCCCCATTTGTCAAGAACAAGTTTGCAAGTTACTTGGAAGGCTGCTGTGGCGACCCCCTTTTCCCCACAAGGGCAAAGTGTGTCCCTTATAAGGATACCAGTCATATTTGATTTGGATCCCATCCTTATTTATTTATAATCCTTACCCAGGGATATTTTTTCATTAATTTTTAGAGAGTGAGAGGGGGAGAGACAGAGAGAGAAACATTGATGTGGGAGAGACACACTGATTGGTTATCTTAACACTCCCCACGACCACCACCAGCGCCAGGGATCGAACCTGTAACCAAGACGCATGCTTCTGACCTGAATCGAAGCCGGGACCCTTCAATCTGAGGGCTGATGCTCCATCCACGGAGCCAAACCGGTGCGGGCTGGGCCACATCATTATGACTCATTTAATCTTTATTACCTCCTTAAAGTCATATGTGAGGGCTTCACATATGAATTGGGGGATGAGGGCTAGGTCAGGGCTCCCAGCTGCCCACAGGACAAAGAGGAATTTGGAATGATTTCTTTCCATTCGTCATCTATTGCTTTCCCCCCCATACCCAAGGCCACAGGCACTGCTGTTTACAGATGAGACTGCAATTGTCCCACTCCCACTCTACCCTTGGTTTCAATCACAGATCAGTCCCATCCTCACAGCCACGAGGAAAGACCATTTGGGGTGGAGGGGGGGGCCAGGGGGGAGGCAGCCTACCTGATTTTCTCCATAGAAGTTGCCTCCCTTATAAGTACCCAGGCATTCAACTTGGTAGCTCACGGGCAAGTGATCCCACCCAAGTCCTGCTCCCTCACAGCCCTTCCTCTGGGTGGGAAATCAGACAGCTCTGCACAGGACCTGGGGCTGAGGTGTGGCACTGAGGCCAGGCCCTCAGCCCGTCATCGGGTGGTCAGCATGGCAGGGCTGGCAACAGAGCTGGGGTTGCCTTGGCAGACATTGCCAATCAATGGCACCACTTTCACACCGAGGCAGCTCAAAGCTGCAAAAAACACACGGTGAGGCTGAGTCAGCCAGATAGGACAGCAACAGTCACATGATGGAACTTCAGACCCCGCAAGGTGAGGGCAGGGCAGGCTGGCCACGAGGACTGCGGAAGGAGCCGGTGATGCACGTTCACCCAGGGCTCACTTGCCAAGCACTGTCACTAGAGAGTGCCCATAGCTCTGATGCGGGAATCGCTCACCTCCATGCCACAGGTGAGGACGTGGGGGCCTGGCAAGTGTTTTCGCCTGACGTCGCCACGTCCACACACACACACTTCCTTGGAGGACACTTCCTTGGGAACACAGCACAGGACAGACCAGACCCTCCTGAAAACGTGTCCTGGAGCTGTGCACGCTGGGAGGGGCGCCGTGGGGGGGGCGATGGCGGTGGTGTGCTTCCGATGCTCAGGCTGGGAGCCAGGGAGGAGGGGGGCACCTCTTATTTGCAGCACTTACTGATTCCCTGAGGTGTGAGTGCTCTCACTTCGGCCCTGTTCAGGCTACCAGCATGGCACCACTAAATGGTGACCTCGAAGGGATGAGCCATGGGAGCCAGCGACAGCCAGAAGCACAAGGACTCAGTGGGGGCGGTAGCAGACGGGCCGTACACCCTGTCCCAGGGGTAGCGGCTACTACCCAGTGCCAGGCGGTCGTACCACATGGCCAGATATCCCGGTTTTTAAAGAGAAGCCCAATATCTACATTTTTTATGTGCGATCTTTTGATTTTTAAATGCTGGCAACATTACAGAAACTTTTTTAAAAAAAATCACGGGTCAAACCAAATACATCTTCAGGCCATTGTCTTGAGCCTAAGTCCTCCCTGAGCCACGGAAATCTCTCACCTGTGGGGGCCCCAGCTACCCCTTCCTCTCCCTCCCATGCCAGCCTCGCTGTGCCCACCAAGACCCCTCCACTGCCACCCCTCCAGGGTGTGCCTCTCTCCACACTACCCTGAGGGCTGAGCCACCCACTGCGTCCAGACCCTGTGGCTCCCACTCTGAAGGTCAGGCCTCTGTCGTGGGTGGACCCGTAAGTCCCTCCTCCCCAGTTCTTGCAGACTGCTGTCTTGTGTGTGCGAATCTCAGGGTTTCCACATCTTAACTCTTTGGTCCTTGACCTCCTCTCCTCCAACGATGGTCTCTCCCCTCCGCCCCCTGCCACTCACCACCTGCCCAGGTCCCTCACTCCCTGTCCTCACCTCTCCTCGCCCAGCCTCAACCCCACGGCCCACTACTATCATGCTTCTGCCACCTCAGCACCTGGTCCCCCTCTTGCTTCCTGGACACTCCCAGCACAGCCCCCACTCGCATGAATCCTCTCCAACGCCACACCCAAAGTGGCCAGGAGAAGGCCTCACCGCTGCCAGTCTCACCGGAACTGGTGCCACTAACCTCAATCAAGTAGAACTGGTGCTTCCCAGAAACCCCCGGGCGCTGCCTAGTGCAGCCTGCTCCCTCTCTCCAGAGTTTTCGTTCCCCTCCCTCCACGGCCACCCTCCAACCCGTGGTCCCCATCCTCACTAGGAAAACCAAAGCACCGCCAGAGTTTGCGGCCCCCAACCTGTGCAAGGATACCTGCGTGTCGCTGGGCGTGGTCCCTGCCCCCACCCCAGCAACTAGTCCCACCCAAAAGCTCAGGGCTCTTGTTAGGCCAGGCCAGGCCCCTCGTCTGCTCCCAGCTCACTCAGACCTGAAAGGCTCAATACACAGCCTCACTGCCCGACAGCCCCACCCTCCCGCACTCCGCTCCAAACTCAGAGGCACGTGCCGGCTGCCCCCGCAGGAGCCAGGAGCTCTTCTGCTCGGCCAGCGCAGTTCCAGAGCTCAGGGCTGTTTCCCCATTTGTAAGTGAGAACAGTCCCTCCTCCGGGATTGTGAGGAGAAAATCGCGCAGAGCGGAGCTGCAGGGCACAGTGCACGCTCATTTAGGCCTGGGCACTTGCTGACACCCAAGCAAAGCACAGCGCTGTGTCCAGCTCCGCTCGGGCAGGTGTAATCCCCGGAGCAGCCTCCAGAGGGCGCCGCCATCCCAGCTCTGAGAAGCCTGTACCCAAGCACTGCCGCCAGTGGACGCCACGGGAGGCTGCTGGGCCTGGCAGATGAGGAGGACCCAGCACACAACAGGTAGCTTTCACACCCCTCCTTACCCGGGGGACTTGACCCAGCACCCCTCTTTCTCAACCACTGAGACTCCAGAGGCTTGGAGAGGTGGGCATTACGTGGGTGTGTGTGGGCGTTGGAGCTCAGGGCTGGAGGCCACACTCACAGGTACCTGGAGGGGCATCCGGCAGCTCCCTGGAGGGAGCCGAGAATTGGGACATTCCCCCCTGCAGAGCCTGAGCGTGTTCCCAACAGCGGTGCCCATCCCCCGCAGCTTCCTCATCACCATCCCCAGCTTGGAGGGCGGGTGCCTCACCTGTGCCATCTGAGCTACTGGAGTTGGAGGCTGGGCAGGATGGCCTTCAGCCCTGGCAGCCACCCCCTGCTGCCAGACGTGTTGAGTGTGCCCTGTCTGGGTCTGTCATACTCAGTGGTCTTGCGGTCCTGGCCTCGACCTGCTCACCTGGTAACTAAGGGGTGGTCACACTAACTGCCCCCCCAGGGTCTGAGGTTGTAAGCACCCCAGAAGGCAGGGTGAGATCCAGGGGAGCTAGGAAAGGCCATCGTTGACCAATCTGAGGCCAGAAGTCAGGGATCTGCTAACCCAGTGTCCCCCTCCCTGCCCAAGAGGGGCACTGCCTTCCCACTGGCAGCCCCACCCCAAACACGCCCCTGCCTCACCAGCCCTTGAGAAGGTCACACCATGTACGCCTCAGGGCAGTGGATTCACACGGCATTTTATTGGGTTTTTTGTGGGTATCTGGATGCCTCAAGCTACTAGCTGGCTTCTCAGCCCCTCACCCCGTTCCTGGCCTCCGCTCTGGGGCCCAGCTGGGTGCTGCCAGCCCTGCCCTGCACCAGCTTCTCCTAAGGCCTTCCTACAACTGGACCCCAGCTCCCAGGCTACCGAGACAAACCCCACTGCCACCCTCTGAGCCAGGCTGCCCCCCATGGGCCCGTTCTTGCATTGGGCACAGCCAAGCTCTCCTGAGGAATGAGCTTCCAGCCCAAAGCCCCCTGGCAGTGCCGCCATCTCAGGCTGCATCAGACTCTCCACAGCATAGTGCAGAGCCGTGGCTCCAACCTAGAGCTTGGTATTAAGGTGGAAAGAGAAGTGGGGTGCTGCATAGGTTGTGGCAGGTGGCACGTGCCATGCCGATGAGGCTGGGCAATGTCTGTGGCGGAGGGTGCTGTCGAAGGATGCTGGGGGGAAGTGCATAAGGCCAGCGGCCATGGGTGAGGGGGCTGTAGTGGCCAGGAAGTGAGCCGGGAAGGCTGGGATGACCAGGGGGCTGAAGGGGAACGTAGCCTGGCCCTTTAAGGGGTCCGGGGTGCCAGTGAAGTTCAGTGGGCAGCGCATCATGGTGCCCCTGTAGGCCTCTGGGAGGGCAGGCCCCAGGGCTGGGCCCAGCAAGCAGGAGACGGCCACGCCAGGCCCCACAGACTTGGCCCCACACTCCTTGGCATCCGCCTCCTTGAGAAAGGGAGGCACTGCCTGCAGTTTTTTGCCACTAGGGACAAACCCCTCTTCCTCTCGGCTGCGCTTGCTGAGGCCTGAGCTGCCAGGGAAAGCGGGCAGGGGCACGGGGCTCTCAGCAGGAACCTTGGCCATGGGGGACACCCAGCAGGCTTTGGGCCTGGGGCAGAGGCTGCCTTTTCTGGAGCCCCCTCTGTGGAATGCAGAGGGACGGTTGACATCCCCACCCCACACCAGCGCCGACTCTTTGACTGGCAGCCCCTCCTCTTTTCCAGGGGATCCCCAGAGCACCCCATCTTTGAGATGGGGAAAGAAGTCCCGGGGGTGCTGGCTGATGGGCTTGAGCACCTTGGTGGGGTAGGCATGGAAACAGCCAGTGAAGGTGGGGGCTGGCGGGTGGGGGCCTGCCTGAGCCTCCTCCCCGAGGCTGCCACCAGGGCCCTGTGACCCCTCCTGAGGGGCCAGCTGGTGCCTGTGGTTCTCAGGTGACCCTCCTGGGCTCCGGGGACTCTCTGGGGGGCGAGCAGCCGGGGACGCCTGGGGTTCCCCATTAGGGCTACCTGCCCCGTGGCGACAGCTCTCCTCCTGGCACTGCAAGGCTTCTGCCTTGCTCACCTGGGCCAGGAGCTTCTTTTTGGCCAGTGGTGACATGATGCCATGTGTCTCTTTGCAGTAAAAACTGGACAGGAGCCGCTTGTAGGCCTCAGGGCAGCCGCTGGCACCCACGAAGGGCAGAGAGGACCCGGGAGCTGGGCCTGGTTGTTCGGTTCTGTCCTGGGGTGGCTCCTGGCTGGGGGGCCTCACCAGGTCGATGGGGTCGATCTTGGTCCTTCCTGGCATCATCTAAAATGAGAAAAGGGCAGCCTCAGGGCTGGGCATGTGCCATGCGTCCTGCAGGGAAGTGGTGCCAGCAGGGCCCAGGGGCACCCAGCAGCCTCTGTGCACCACTTTTTGTTGTTTTTATTTATTTATTTATTTTTTAAATGTTGAAGTAATGCAACTTATCCAGCCACTGAGCAGGCTGGCGAGAACTGGCACTAACTCCAAATTACTCTTGCATACACTGTCCCCCTGCCTGGCCATGGGCACAGTCAGGCAAGGTCTACGGTATGCCCTGTTTTGTTAAATCCTTGCCTGTGGATATTTTTTCCATTGATTTTCAGAGAGAGGAAGGGAGGGGGAGAGACAGAGAGAAACATCAGTGTGAGACACACATGAACTGGTTGCCTCCCGCATGTGCCCCAACCGGGGCCGGGGATCAGGCCTGCAACCGAGGCACGTGCCCTTGACCAGAATCAAACCCGAGACCCTTCATTCCGTGGGCTGACCCTCTAAGCCAGTGATGGCGAACCTTTTGAGCTCAGCGTGTCAGCATTTTGAAAAACCCTAACTTAACTCTGGTGCTGTGTCACATATAGAAATTTTTTGATATTTGCAACCAGAGTAAAACAAAGACTTATTTTTGATATTTATTTTATATATTTAAATGCCATTTAACAAAGAAAAATCAGCCAAAAAAATGAGTTCGCGCCGAAACCGATTTGGCTCAGTGGATAGAGCGTCGGCCTGCGGACTAAGGGTCCCGGGTTCGATTCCAGTCGAGGGCATGTACCTGGGTTGCGGGCACATCCCCAGTGGGAGATGTGCAGGAGGCAGCTGATCGATGTTTCTCTCTCATCGATGTTTCTAACTCTCTATCCATCTCCCTTCCTCTCTGTAAAAAATCAATAAAATATATTATTTTTAAAAAATGAGTTCGCGTGTCACCTCTGACACGCGTGTCATAGGTTTGCCATCACTGCTCTAAGCACTGAGTCAGACCGGCCAGGGCTCTGCACAACGTTTTCAAAAGGTCTCGTTTTCAAAAGGCCTGGTGTCCGGACACAGGGCCCGGAGGGTGGAGTTAGGCTGGCGGCAGACCCCACAGGCCTCAGAGAACTTACACCAACAGATTCGGTGTTCTGGGCAGGGCGCTGTGCGGCCATGCCACAGTAGGGGGGGGGGGGGGACATCTGAGAGGCAGGCAGGGAGGTCCTGGCTCACCTGGTGGCCCTGGGGCTCGGGGCTCACCTGGCCCAGCTGCTCCTCCTTGGCCTTCAGCCTCTCGGTGGCCCCGTCGTCCCCTCGAGGCTCCTTGGCCATCTTGTATTGCTTCCTGGGCTTGGAGGGGGGCAGCGGCTTGTCATCCTCCCCCTTCAGGTGCCGCACGTATGGGAGGACCAGCCTGAGGAGGAGCAGCACGTCCACCAGGGGCCAGGCCCGGCAGGCACCCGCTCGCTCCTCCTGCCGCCTTGCACACTCTGGACAGGGCAGGCTGCCCGGCCACCTCTTCCTGCTTGCCCCGCCGGCCGGGCTCCCCTGAGCGGCAGGGCACCCGCCCCACACCCCACTGCTCATCCTGCCCCACCCCTGTCCACAGTATACTCTCAGGCACCCACTCCTGCACCACACCCCCGGGAGGGCAGGACCCCTGCCCTGGAACTGCCCCGGCCGCACCTCTCGTAGTGGCGCCGAGTGCACGTGGCCGCACTGGTGCTGCCTGGGCTGCCCCCCAGCTCGTCATACACGTTCTTCCAGAGGCGGCGGCCGGTCACCTGCAAGGGCACCAGGTGAGGCAGGGTGCCCGCTAGCAGTGAGGCCAGGTTGAGGTTATTGGAGGGGCTCATCTGGCGGCAGGCCAGCACCCCCTCCCCCACCCCTGCCACTGGACTGCTGGCCCAAGCAGCTTTCCGAGCTCGGGGAAGGCAGAACAGATGGGGAAAGAGGAAACTTGCTTTGAGCAGCAAAGTACCAGCGGGCCAGGCGAGCCCTCTCCCTCCCCTCTGCATGCAGGGGCGCTGGGAGGGGCAGGACCGGGGCCCCCATCCTCCTGTCTGGAGGCCAGGGAAGCTCCAAGGGGCTCTCCTCTTTCCCAGCGCCCCTGGGTGCAGTGGGAGACCAGCCTGCTGAGGGCTCAGGGGTGCCTTCTTTACCATCTCGTAGGCCCCCAGCTTCTCCACGGCCTTGTAGATCTTCCACAGGTTAACTGGGGAAAAGAGAGGGGAGGGCACCATCAGTCTCTGCCATAGGAGGGTGGCCCGCAGCCCATTCCCGTGGCCTGTCAGGCAGGCACAGAACCAGGGCCACTGCGATGGACAGCAGGCTGGGCGGGTCCTGGGCACTGCTGCCCAGTGGCTGGTGAAGGTGGAGATGCAGCCCCGCCCGTTGCCAGCCCAGCACCGGGAAGGGGGTACCCCTATATGTAACCCTGTGGGCTGGTAGTGTCAGGGTCACCAGAGTGGAGGTGCCTGCCCCAATGCCCTGCCTAGCTGGGGTCCCCTACCGGGCCCCCCTCCCTGCCTGCACCCCAGGGACGCACTCTGCTTGAAGCCAAGATGGGGCACCCTCTCGATGGGCGTGTGTCGCTCCTTCATGAACTTGTAGAGGCTGACCAGGAAGGCCTGCTCCTCCTCCCGCTCCTGCGCCTCCTCCCGCTCCCCGCCTGCCTCGGGGGAGTCCTAGGGAAAGAGCAGGAGGCAGAGGGATCAGCCCCCAGTGGGTGGCTGGGAACGGGCTGACCACTGGGCCCCAACCCCAGGCTCCCACAGGAGGGAGCAGGCCCCTAGTAGCCAGCCTACTGCTCGGGCTGGATGACTGTTCTGGTGCCAGAAAGATGCTGCTGTCCCCAGCCCCAGGCCAGGTCCACAGAGGCTGGCTCCAGAGGTGGCCGTAGCCTCGCACCTTCTCCAGGCCTCTCTCCAGCCACAGGTCACCTCTGTCTTTTTTTAAAAGTATATTTTTATTGGTTTCAGAGAGGAAGGGAGGAGAGAGAGATAGAGACATCAATGATGAGAGAGAATCATTGATCAGCTGCCTCCTGCACGCCCCCCACTGGGGATCAAGCCCACAACCTGCATGTGCCCTGACTTGGAATCTAACCGTGACCTCCTGGTTCCTAGGTCGATGCTCAACCACTGAGCCACGCCGGCCCGGCCCGATCACCTCTTTATCTGGATCGAGATGGGTGACATCTCCGTCTCGGCTCCTCTACCAGACTGAGTTCCTGGAGACAGGCTTGTGTCCCTAGGCCCCCAGGTGGCCCCAGGGGTCAAAGCTGAAGGAGCAGCCTTGGCCGTGGGTCAGTTGGTTGGAGCATTCCCGTACACCGAAAGGATGTGCACACAGGAGGCAACAGCTTGATGTTTCTCTCTCCCCCCGCCCCTTCCTTTCTCTAAAATCAATAAACATATCGGGTAAGGATTAAAAAAAAAAAAAAAGGAAAGGCACAAAGGTGCTTGTGGCTTTCTGGCACTGGGGGCTGCTTAGCCGGGCCTGTGCCCAGCCAGCCTTGGCCGTGGTGCCTTCCTCCCTGACCCGCCGGGCTGTGCTGACCTCAGGGAGGAGGGGCCGCGTCCCGGTTCCTGGCACACTGTCGAATGCACAGGACTTTTGGCTTCTGCTCTCAGAGGTGCAGTCCCTCCTGGTGCTGTTCATCGGGCTAGTGGCTCAGGGCAGGGGGTACGGCGAGGCCGGGGCTGAGGGCTCAGGGAACCGAAGCTCCCAGGTCGTGGGTGGGAGGCCCCAAATACCAGAAGGACCTGGAACAGCACAGAGAGCCATGCGTTCCCCAGATAGTCCACCAAGTGCCGTTTCCGTGTTCTTGATAATAAACACGCAAGCTCACGCGTTACCTATGAAACTAACATCCTGGAGACCAAGGCTCTGGGTGGTGCTGCCCCAGAAAGAAGCTCGTCACATGCATTTGTGCTTCTCTGAACTCCACGCAGGCCATTAAACTGTGACCACGGGCGACCACTCTCCTACATGGATTAGGATTTCACTCCAGCCTGCCGCCAAAGCAAACAGCCGAGATGAGTGGGTGCCGAGCCGGCCACTCTGCTGTGTCCCCACAGCTCCTCAGCCTCCCTGACCTCACCCGGGACGTCTGTGTCCACGTTATACGTGTGGGCGGATGGACGGGTGTAAATGCAGTTTTGCATCATAGGACAGTGCTTTTATCTGTGTCGTCTGATCAGAGCTCCAGGCAAGCTTCGCTGATCCAGGGCTCCGCTATGAAAAAGAAGTCTGGCACCCACCCTGGCGAGGGCGAGCCCTCCTGCCTGCCTGGCTCCCACACCTCCCAGAGCAGGGCCGGCCCGCTCCTGGCTCTGCAGCAGTGGGGGAGGGAGCACATCCCAAGTTCACCTGGAAAGGACCCCGGGGAACCACCTAACTCACCTCCAGCTGGATTGGGCTCTGGCTCCTGCTCTGCTCACCATCGGGTTGAGGGGACACCGGTGGGTCTGGGGGATCGTCCCCCTCTGACTGTCTACTTTTCCCTTCGGCAGGAGGTGCTGTGAGGAGAGGAAGAAGAGGGAGAGAGCAGGGGACACGTGAGATGCAGGCAGGGAGGACAGGCTCCCTGGGGAGGCGCCGGATCTGGAGGGTCCTCTCCCTCCTCAGCTGACCCTCTGCTCTCCCGGGTCCACCCCCCATCACACACCTGCCACTCGTCCTTCCTTGTCCCACATCTCCCCCCATCTCTGAAAGAAACCCCAGCCAGCTGGGGATCCAGTCCGAGGAGGCTGGGCCATGGTGCTGGGGAAACCTGTCTCCAAGATCTGCCCCACATTCAGGCCGGAGGTTCTCCCAGCAGCTCAGCGGACCTGGGAGCACCGCTGAGCTGCCACGTGTGTGGGCCCCCAAAGCAGCGCAGGGGTGCTGGGCCCGTAGGTCCTCCAGGAATCACTCAGGAAGGAGTAAGTTCCTGCTTGTGACGCACTGAGCCTTTCCCTGAGCATCTGCAGGCCCCCCTTCCCCTCACCTGCAAGGGTCCTGGTGACCCTTCAGTTCCCCCTGACAATCACTTCCTCTGCACGGCCCTTCCCAGCCAAGTACCGTCTCCTGCTTCTGTCTGGCCTCCTCACTCCTCCACCGTCCTGATTGCCTGCGCCTATCGGCCAGTGAGGGTGAGTGCAGGGGGGCCACGGGCCCTTCGCTCAGCACAGCCGTGAGCTGATGGGTGCAAAACCTCCACACCCTGCCACGGCCAAAGCACCGCCACGGAAACTGCCCGAGCCACGTGGCAGGCTGGCAGCAGACACAAGACCAGGAAGCCACATCTTTGACCGCCCTTCCTTCCTTTTTCCCTTCGTTCATCTAACATGAACTGCTCCATAGTCCTGGCTCGCTCCAGGGACTGCTGGGAACCTGTGAGGCTAACACAGGTTCTTTCTGATACTTGGGGCCCCCCTCCTTCCCAGACAGAAAACATCTCCTTCACAACAGCCCACACCAACATGGCCCACGCGGCCGGGGCCCCCAGAAGCACATGCTATTAGCACCTCTGGCCACTGGATGCTGTCCCCCCCCCAGCAGCTGTTCACCGAAGGGCCACTATGCCTGCCAACATTCACACTGTGGGTCCTCGGCTCCGTGACCCTGGCTCTCTCATTCAGTCCCAGAAGGAATCGCATTTTAAAGAGGGGAGAGCTGGAGCCGGGGAGGGAAACCAGAATTCAGACAAGGTCTGTCTGACCCCATCCACCACTGACCCGGCCACCACTGTGGCTGCTGTGGTTACCGCCACTGTTTGCAAGGCCTTGAGGAAGAGCCTAACTAGCCTGGGAAAGAACTGAAGGGTCACCAGGACCCTTGCAGGTGAGGGGAATGCTTGTCAGGAAGAGACACAGCCACTGCCCAGGCTGGCTTCTGACCACCAGAGGCAGGGCTGGCCTCCAGAAACAGCCAGTTGCTAACAATGACCCCCCCGCCCCCGCCCCCAGTCCTGGCTGGGTGCTCAGTGGTTGAGTATCAACCCATGAAACAAGGTCATGGGTTTGATTCCTGGTCAGGACACGTGCCAGGGTTGTGGCTCCATCCCCACTACTGGTCGTGCAGGAGGCAGCCAATCTGTGTTTCTCTCTCATCGATGTTTCTATCTCTTTATCCCCCGCACTTCCTCTCTCTTTAAAGTCAATAAAAATATGATTTTAAAATATACTTTAAAATAAAAAGGTTGTGGGCTCGGTTCCCAGTCAGGGCACATTCCCAGGTTGCAGGTTTGATCCTTCGTCAGGGTTCTTATGGGAGGCAACCAATTGATGTTTCTCACTCACACTGATGTTTCTCTCCTTTCCTCTCTAAACATCCTCGGGTGAGGATTAAAAAACAATAATGACCGCCCCCCGCCCCCGAGACTGATACTTCTCCTTGGGCAACTGACTCTGTGCCTGTCTTCCCTCCTGATTCAAGTCCTCCGCCTGCTGTCCGTGAATTCCCACAGTCTCCCGCTCACGGGAGCGCCTGCCACCAGCGGCTTCTCTCCTTTCCCCTCCGGCCCCTCCACCCTGCTTTGCGTCCTCTCCCTTCTGTCCTGCGGGCTCAGATCCTCAGCACCGCAGGCTCCTCCCCATCTGCCCCTGGGACCTGCGCTTCTCACTGGAGCCTCCTGCAAACTGGCTATGTGACTCTGCAAGCCGCTGCCCTGGGCTCAGAGAAACGGGGGTGGGAACAGGCCCTTTAGAATCACCTGGGGCGCATTCTAAAGACACCCATGCCTGTCTGCCCACCCCCACCTGTGTGATTTAGGGTCCTGCCGGGGGGGCTTCGGAGGTAAAGCTCCCCAGGGCACCCGGGGGCAGCCAGGTTGAGCCCCCTGGCCAGAGGATCTCTAGTCCCCTCTTCGGGGGTTCGGGTTCGGAGTCGGTGCTCTGCCTGGGCCACACTCGGAAAGACACCTGGAGGCGGGCGCTCCAGTTACCTGGAAAGGAGGTCACCAACCTGAGCTGTTCAATCCCAGGCAGCAAAGGGATAAGAGCGCCCGCATCGAGCCACAAAGGGACTCTTTACCTCTGTGTCCAGCTGAGTCCCCACATGAACTCGGCCTCCATTCTCCCCCAACCAAGGCCAGTATGTCTCCCTTCCTGGCTGGGCCTGGCTGCAGCTGCCACAGCCTTGGATGGTGGACGGAGAGTCCAGGGTGCCTCGGGACTGCTCAAGACCCTTCCTGTGTTAGGAATCTCATTTCATCCCATCTCATTTCTGCCCTAATCACTTCCTTCCCAGTCATTTGTAGACGGGGCTCCAGGAAATCTGCATTTGCAAAAAGGGTTCTGCTGCAACAAATAAATTTAAACTCCCCTGCCATGGTGACGGGCGAGCCCCCCTACCTGCCCAGCCTCTAGTTCTGACACTTCCCAACGCAGGGCCATGGGTCTCCCGGCCACATCCTGCCTGCAGAGGCAGAGCCCACCTGCCCTGAGGGACGCTGTGGCCAGGGAGCCACCACACGGCTGTCTTGCTCTGAGCTACAGGCACAGACCCCTCTGAGCAGAAAGCTCGATGCCCTATTGTAACAGAGGAGGCAGATTCAAGGACACAGCCCTGCTCCCCATAGGAATGGTGTTCGGACATTGCTTTTTCCACCAGGAAGCAATAATGACAATAATGGTGATGGTGGCTTCACTGTTTACTTTGCATACATCTGGAATCTATAAGGTATGAAATCAGGACCTTAACCATAGTCCTCCCCCCACTGGTTAGATGGTCCCAGTAGTGACTGAGTGACCCCCTTCCCCCCAATAATCTGAAATGCTACTTTTCCCACCATCTAAAGGCTTCCCCGGAGGGCATCTGGGACGGGTTTGGGCTTTCGGTTCTGTCCTGTTGACTGGAATGCTGGGACCCGTGCACACTGTTGTCATTTTTATGGCTTGGTGAGACAACTTACTACCCAGAGCATGTCCCAGCATTCGTCTTCTGTTTAAAAAAAGTTCCACCCGAACTTTAGGATAATTTTGTCACATTCCCTTAAAAAAAATAAAACATCCACTGGGTTTTGACTGAAGTGCATTTAAATGTAGAAATAACTTTGAGAAGAAGTAACACCTTTGGGTGATGCATCTTCCTTTTCAGGACCAGAGAGGCAGGTCTCCCTTTGCAGACGGTCCTTGTAAAAGGCCCGGTGTCCTGGCTTTTAAGCGTATCCCTCACATTTCCTGAAGTGAGATGCTAGTGTGAGGAAAGCCGTGATAATCGAGGGTAGGACTTGGCTCCACGGCCCCTGACACCCCCTCGCTTCCCGGTTGAGAAGAGGACAGAGGAAGGCTGGGCCAATGAACCTGGCCTCCCTGGGCAGGGGACTGCTCAAGACCCTTCCTGTGTTAGGAATCTCATTTCATCTCAGAACCTAAACCACGGCCGTGCAGAAGTTGGTTTCAGCCTCTGACTCCAACGGACGGTGCTCCCTGCAGCCATTCCCTCCTTCCTTTCCATGCTCCTCACTCCAGAAGCTCGTCAGTGCCCTGGCCGGCCTGGCACCAGGCGTCTGGCACATGATCCCACGAATATTCCCAGCCACCAGTGGGTATTTCCCTTTTTACCGACACAATACCTAAGACTCAGACAGTCTCAGTAACAGCTTATTAGCAGCGCAGGTGGCATGCAGCACCCTGAGGTCTGGAGGTTTTTGTTAACAGGAGCAGGGAGACCCAGGTTCCTTATCTGTGCCCAGGCGCTCTAAGGGACCGAGCAGGTCTGCAGCCTCCCGTGACATCATACTGTCATGTGCTGACAAGAGCCTGCTGAAAGCAGATGAGGTGCAGAGGAGTGATGGGGAGGGGGCTCTGCCACCATACAGGTACGCCTTTATCACGCCAGTCACAGCTTCTGTGTCTTGGTGTCCCCACCTATAAAGTGGCCGTGCTAGACTCCAGAGGCCCACGGTGCTGAGCAGAACAAAGTGAGAAATGAGCTTCCCCACAAACCACAGCCAAGCGTGTGTGAGAGCTTGTGAGAGCGTGGATGAGAGTGTGTATATAATGTATCAGTGTGAGTGCATGAGAATGTGCATGTGAGAGTGTGTGTATGAAGGTGACTGTGAGAGTGTATAGTGTATTGTATGACTGTGTACATGTGTAACTATACAACTGTGTGTGTGAGTGCATGTGTGCATGAGTGTGAATGCATGTGTACGTGAGTGTATGTGACAGCGTGACTGCAAATGTGTGTAAGTGTGCACATGTGCATGAGTGTGCGTGTGTACACACCTCCCTCTGTGAGGTTTGAGGTCTGTGCCCTGCTTGCTCCCCATGTCCACGGCCCAGAGTAGTGTATGGCAGGACCAGTGCTCCACAGACATCAGCCCGAGACCCGCACGAGCCACCTGATCTCAGACACTCCTGATGCCCAGAGAGGGGCTTGGGCGGTGACGAGTTCAGGGCCATACAACCAGTCAGTGCCAGGCCACACTACCTCTGCCCGACTCCCCCCTATCCCTCCCACTCCGGCCCCACCCAATTCACACTTGGTGTGATGGAAGTGACACTTCCGTTCATGAAAAGTCACC